CATTTTCATGTTCTGTGAACTGTGGGAGACCAGATAGAGTGAATGCAGGGTCCTGGGTTTAGTAAAACTTTAAGTTATACAGATGCTTTCAGTCTTTTAATTATATATTACCAGGTGTGTCAGAGGGGATGGAGCAGTTTGCAGAGTTGTGGCAGAACAGAGAACCCATCATACCAAGTTGCTCCTGCAGAGATAAGGGCTACACTGTAACAAATGGTGGCAGCTTCTTTGTGTGTGTGTATGTGTAAAGGGTTACCAATACAGGTATCTAACTGTATTGATGATCACTATTGGTCTGCTGACACTTAGAGAGAAAATCAGTGTGCAAGGTGAGACTGAGAGTACTATTGCTATTTTTGTAATACGTGCTAAAAAGATCATGTAACAGATAACATCTGAAAGATGTTTCCTATAGAATCTCTACATTTAGATTAAAGCCTGTCAGAAAAATCAGCAGAAGTGACAGTACTTATGGTATATGCCTGGCCTTGCTGCCCCCCTCCTTCATTCATAAGAGCTGTACTATAGTTTCTATGAATGAAAAGCGATCTATAAATGGAGGATGGGTGGATAAATTAATGCTTTAGTCCAGCTTCCATATATGGTGGAAGGGCGGAAAGGGTGGGTATACAGTAGATGGCGCTCTTAATGAGTACATATGACAGGTCCTCCCTCAGCTCTATTAACCGCCAGGGAACAGGTAAATAGTAGAAGGGGGAGGGGAGATTGGAGAACAGAAGATTTTAACTAAATCTGCTGCAAGCAGCACAAAGGGCACATTTCAGTAACTGTAAGTAATGTTCCTTGTGCTGATTTTTAAAACATGTTTTTTCCCCGGTTAGGCTTTATTTAAACAGGTATCCTTTAAAGTTTTGGGGTCCTACGTGTCTCACATCTAGAAAACTATGCTTCTTAAAACACAAATTCATGGTAGGGTAATCAAAGAAGAACTTAATGTGAACCAAGACCTAGATTTTTTAGCCGTCATCAGGGGTATGAAAAGAAACATGGAAGACAAATAAAACAGATTTTATTTCTTTAATTTCAGATATAAAGAGAATAAGAAAAGAAAACTGAACACTGATCTATCTCATACTATATAAAGAGTTAATAATAGGCACTACATGTAGAAATTATAATGAGTAACCAGTAGGGATATTTTTTATAATACATTACATATTATAATACAATAATATATTAGCAATACAGTATTCAGACAAACTAAACATCCGTAGCACCCTCCTAGATAGGTTGCTAGACACTGTAGGTATTAGATAAGTTTAGTTTTGGCTCCCCTGTACACAGTGGAGCAACTTGTGATTACTTTGGGCTGTTCTGGGTTTCACTGGTTGCATGTTTGACTAGCTCCCCTTGCCTTCTGCAGGGTGCTGGAATGTAGTGGGCTGGGAAAGTCCGATTTGAAGCCTGAATACTTATGTGGTCCAACTAATCCCTGGGGGAGAGTGCTCAGTAGATGTGTATAAATAGTCTGAAGCCTGGGGCAGTGGGGTTCTTGTCTAAGATGAGAAGTTCCCAGCCTGAAGTGCTGCTGCCCTTCTGGGCAGTCCAGCTGTACCCAGTAGTGTACTTAGATTTTGTGCTGCCCTAGGCAACACAAAAATTTGAGCCCCCCCCTCCCCAATGAGAGAGCGAGAGAGTTCAATAAGTGTGTGTATGTATATAGGATTCTCTCTCTCTCTCCCTTTCTTTCTCTTCTCTCTCTCTTTCTCCCCTCTCTTCCCCTTCTCTCTTTCTCCCTCTCTCTCTTTCTCCCCCCCCCTCCCTCTCTCTCTCTCTCTCTCTCTCTCGTTTTCTTCCCCTCTCTTTTCTCCCTGTCTCTCTCTCTTCCTCTCTCTTCCTCTCTCTCCCCCCCCCTCTCTATCTCCCCCCCCCTCTTCCTCCCTCTCTCTCTCTTTCTCCCCCCTTCCCTCTCTCTCTATCCCCCTCTCTCTTCCCTCTCTCTCTTCCCTTTCTCTAGTTCTCCCTCCCTCTCTCTCTTCCCTCTCTCTTCCCTTTCTCTCTCTCTTCCCTCTCTCTTCCCTTTCTCTCTCTCTTTCCTCTCTCTTCCCTTTCTCTCTTCTCTTCTCTCTCTCTCTCTTTCTCTCTCTTCTTTCTCTCTCTCTTTCCTCCCTCTCCTCTCTTCCCCCTCTTTCTCCCTCTATCTCTCCCTCCCTTTCTCTCTTCCCTCTCCCTCTCTTTTTTTTCCCTCGCTCTTCCCTTTCTCTCTCTCTCTTTCTCCCTCTCTCTCTTCCCTTTCTCTCTCTTCCCTCTCTCTCCCCCCCTCTTTCTCAGATCATATGGGAACACCCCCCCTCTCCAAGGGGCTGCTGATGGGGGGGGGGGTGGGGGGAGAGAGGTGTGTGCAGTCCCATACGATTTATCAGTGATCAGTGTCAGTGTAACGTACTGGATGGATGACAGGAGGGAGAGCCCACTGAAAACAACACAGCTCACCTCCTCCGGGCTCTTTCCTCTCTGACACTTCTTCTCTCCCTGCTCCAGGCTGTCCCCTGGTCCTGGCTCGTCAGCTGCTGGAGGGAGAGGTACTCAACCTTTGCTCTGCAATTGCCCTCCCCCATGCCCCACCACATCGATCTTCCTGCTGTCTGCCATTGCTCAAAAGGTGCCGCCCTCCTAAAAATTGCCGCCCTAGGCAAACGCCTTGTCTGCCTTGCGGTAGATGCGCCCCTGGCTGTACCTCTACATGTGCTCAATGAGGTCATTTGTGAGCACAGACCTGTGTGCAGGACCCTAGTGACTGCTAATATTTCTTGTGCATCAATGCCAGAGATTACTTAAATTTGGGACATTCCATTGGAGTCTCAGTGCTACTCAAACTCCTTCGTGGCTGCTAGAGGAATCATACTAAGCAGCTTGAGAAAGTAAGAGTGTCCTCTGTTACTACATTGTGTTACTGGAGTATCCCACAGCTCCCCTGATCCCCATCCAAGTTTATTCAGCAATAAATATAAAAAAAACACCCCTAGACTGATCATTGAGCAAGAATAGTGTTGCTGTGTACCTGGCTGCTGCTATACTAGTTTGGAAAAAGAATCTGGGGGCAAAACAGCTGGTTCAAGGGTGAACGCTACACATCAATACAGTTAAACATACATCAATATAATTATAACTGATTATAATTATAAAAAGATTTTGATGTTATGTACTTAGAGATATGAGCTGCATAATGTATTCAATGTCAGGATTCAATTTAACACAGAATCTTGTGGATCATCATTAGAGCAAGCCTACTTTCTGCAGCTGGTATAATATACTACACTGGAAGTCTACCCATGTTCACGCCTGTAATTGTCAACGGAGTTTAGTTTACTTGGAAATTCCTTTTAAGCCTACCATTCAAGGAAAAAAGTCAGACCTGGGATATGGCATCTCTATGCAAAAAAAGATGATTACATCTGCAAAAGTTTCATAGTGTAAGACAAATGTACAGTGAAGCAGACATCCTTAACAAATATATCACAGACAAACACATAATTGACCTTATTGAAGACAGAGCTATATTTATTTGTCTTTCAGTTCTCATTCCCATCCTCGTTATACATGCAGGATGCTGCCAGTTCTCTGGCTAGATGAAATCAGCCTGCAGGTCCTTTATCTTCCTCTGTTTAACATATTCATCTGCTTGCTTTTATCTTTCCTAACATCAGGTTTTAAATTTTGACTTTTTAATATTAATTTAGAAATGATTACATTGCCGGCAAACTGATATTATTTCCTTTATTATTCTTCATCTTCCTTTGCATATGTTATGTTCCAAATGATAATTCTAGGAAAGATAAATATAAATGCTTTCCAGGAGGTTTCTGGCAACATCTGCAACATGCTTTGCCTCCTTTCTAAAACTTGTAGCGGAATGAAAACATTTTGCTCTAGCAGCACAGTGCATACTCTAATTCAGTGGTCTCTAAACTGTGGCCAGTGAGCTGCATGCGGCCCCTTGCTTGCATATACCTGTTCCGCAGGGCACTATTCCTCACAGTGACACCAACGATGAGGCACCATTTCTTCCACTGACACTAACAGTGGGGCATAATCCTCCCATTGACACCAACAATGGGTCATAATTCCTACAACTGACTTAAAAAATGGGGCCATGTTCCTCCCACTGACTCCAAGTATGGGCAGTATTCATCCCACTGATACCAAAATGGGGCCATGTTCCTTCCACTGACTCCAAGGTTGAGGCAGGATTCCTATCACTGATGCCAACATTGGGGAAAAAAATTCTATCTGCTGACACCAACAATAGGGCACTGTTGTGCCACTGATACCAACAATAGGACACTATTCCTCCCACTGATATAAAAAATGGGGGACTATTCTACCCACTAAAATCAATCATGGGGCACTATTCTTCCTCCTACTGACCACAGGCTCTGTGCATTTTTCTATTACCTTATTACTTACTGACCACCAAGTCTGAGGCATTGTTTACTTCCACTGTTGCAGGGCAATTACTATTCCAACTTGTTACAGTCTGCCCCCCCCGAAGGACAATAAAATGGCCCTTTGTTTAGAATGTTTGGGGGCCTCTGCCCTTAACCATGCCCACCATTCTGCATCTAGGCCCAAGGAAGTGAGTACTTATTGTTGGTATACTTATTAACCACCTTCTGCCCGCCATATAGTACAATGATGGGCACAAGGTGGTTCTCTCGTTCTGATAGGACATCATATGACGTCCTTCCATTCTCACCACGCATGCGCGGCTCAGGGAGCATGCAGCGCGGCGATCGCCGGTGCGCTGTGTCCCTCGGACACAGCGGATCACGGAAAGAGCCAAAGATGTCGGCTCGGTCATGTGATCAGCTGTGTCCAATCACAGCTGATCACATATAAACACGGAAATGCCGGTTATCTGCATTTCTCTCCTCTCGAGCTGTCATGCTGACAGCTCGAGAGGAGAGCCGGTAATCGGCTTTCCGTGGAGGGGACATGTACACTGATCATCAGGGCACTGAGGATCAGTGTGCCCTGATGATCAGTGTGGCCCCAGAAGTGCCACCTGTCAGTGTCCATCAGTGCCAGCAGTCAGTGCTCAGTGCCATGTGCCAGTGCCCATCAGTGCCACATTAATGCCACATATCAGTGCATACCAGTGCACATCAATGCCACATATCAGTGCCCATCTGAGCTGCCTTTCAATGTCACCCATCAGTGGCAGTCAGTGCCACCTATCAATGCCAATCAGTGCCACCTATCAGTTCCACCTATCAGTGCCAGTCAGTGGCGCCTATCAGTGCGCATCAGTGCCGCGTATCAGTGCCAGTCAGTGCCACCTAACAGTGCCAGTCAGTGCCGCCTAACAGTGCCAGTCAGTGATGCCTATCAGTGCCAGTCAGTGCTGCCTATCAGTGCCAGTCAGTGCTGCCTATCAGTGCCACCTATCAGTGCCATATATCAGTGTCATGTATCAGTGCTGCCTTTCAGTGCCCATCAGTGATGCCTGGCAATGCCCATCAGTGCAACCTACCAGTGCCTCCTCATCAGTGCCCATCAGTGCCACCAGTGCAGCCTATCAGTGCCCATCACTGCAGCCTCATTAACGCAAATCAATGAAGTAGAAAAATCACTTATTTACAAAATTGTATAACAAAAACTAAGAACAAACGTTTTTTAATTTTCAGTGGTTTTTGGTTTGTTTAGGAAAAAATAAAAATCCCAGAGGTGATTAAATACCACCAAAAGAAAGCTCTATCTGTCTCAAAAAAATGATAAAAATTTCATATGGGTACAGTGTTGCATGACCGCGCAATTGTCATTCAAAATGTGACAGCGCTGAAAGCTGGAAATTGGCCTGGGCAGGAAGGGGGTATAAGTGCCCTGTAGGCTAGTGGTTAAACAGGTGGAGGTTACTATAGTGCCCTGTAGGCTAGTGGTTAAACAGGTGGAGGTTACTATAGATCTAAGAGTGTATATACTTAGTGCTTTTCTTTGCTTTGTTATTAAACTTGCCCTAGAAGTTGGTTAACACACACAATTGTTTTGGTCACGCATTTATGCACATTTTTTTACTTAATGCAGAGAATGCATTAAAGTTCAAAAAAAAAAAATGTTTTGAGTTTAGAACCACTTTAAAACTGATCACCGGGATAAGCAAATAATGTCAAAAAACAAACAGGATACAAAGGGCAGGTGTATTCTAACTTGAATCCTGGTGTGCTTTATGTATTTCTTCCAGATCTGTACACATGTACAGATGATCCACATGTACAAAATGTTGTCAGAACATCTTTTTTCCTCTTGAGAAACATAGCTGGCCTGTGTCCTATGCTATCATACACTGCAGCTGATTCATACATTTGTGTTCTCCTGACTTGACTTTCGCACTGCTGTACTAGCTGGTGTATATCAATCCACCATTAATCAACTACAATACCTGATAGGCAAGAAGTCTCTGTGCAGAACATATGTACAAAATTCTGCAACCAGAATTCTCACTAGGTCTGGAACAAGTGACCCTGTTTCCCCTATCCTGGAGTCCATGCACTGGCTACCTGTCAGGTTTCACAAAGACTTTAAGATTCTCTTGTTCGCCTATAAGACTCTTAATGGCTTGGCACCCCATTATCTGTCTAAACTTTTATCAACTTACTTACCCCCCCCCCTCCGCTCCTCAAATTCTGGTCTTCTGTGTCCCCACTCACCTACACTCGATGGGAGACAGAGCCTTCTCCTGCTATGCTCCAAAACTCTGGAATTCTCTTCCAAGGAACATCAGAGAGTCATCTCCTCAAAACTCAGGTAAAAAAGGTAAAAACCTTTTTCTTTAGACAAGCTTTTACTTAATGGTCCTTTTTTTTAAACCCTTTGTTTTATCCTATGTAGTTCTTATTTATTTTTTTTGTAAAGCGCTTTGACAAGCTACTGTTAACCACTTGTCCTCCAAAGGATTTACCCCCTCTTCCTGACCAGGCCATTTTTTGTGTTATAGCGCTGCGTTACATTAACTGACAATTGCGCGGACATGTAACACTGTACCCAAATTAAATTTGCGTCCTTTTTTTCCCCACAAATAGAACTTTCTTTTGTTTGTGCATTTTACATTTTTTGCTCTAAAAAAAAAAAAAAGACCGACAATCTTGAGAAAAAACAATATTTTTGATATTTTTCTATTAAACATGTCCACGAAAAAAAATTTTAAAGATCACATTTTGTCATAAATTTAGACCAAAATGTATTCTGCTTTGTCTTTGCTAAAAAAAAATCCCAATATGTGTTAGTTGGTTTACGTGAAAGTTATGTACTGGGATTTTTTTTACTAATAATGACAGCAATCGGCGACTTATAGTGGGACTGCGTCAGGCATTCTGACACTGGGGGGGGAACTGACTTGGTGTCATTGATATCCCCAGTGACACCAATACAGTGATCAGTGCAAATAAAAAGCACTGACACTGTATTAGTGGCACTGGGCAGGAAGGGGTTAACATGTGGGGCAATCATAGGGTTAACTGTGTGCCATTTGACATAGTGTGCGCTGCACTGTAAGCACACTGCTTTGTATGGCTGTGCATGCAAAGCAGTGTGCAGGTGCTGACGGGAGATAACTGTATTGTTTACAATGCTCGGCAATCACTGGTTGCTGGTGAGTAATCACTGGCCGGGACCCGGTGATTGACAGCCGAGGCCGCGAATGGTGGCACGGGTAGGGCATGCGTACACCTCACGCACGCCTCCTACCTGGAACTCTGGCTGTCCATTTTAACCGCTTCTTGTCCACCCTATAGCAGAAGTACATATATATATACGTGATTTTGTGCACCACTTGCCGCCCTGTAGCAGTACTTCTGCTATAGGGTGGACGAGAAGCGGTTAAAAGGCACTATATAAGATAAAGTTTATTATTATTACTATTATTATTATAGTAATCCAGCATAAAACACTTTCCTTTGTGCAGGAGCTTCGTCATTCACTGCTGCTCTTGCCTTGTGCAGGGTGACTGGTCTGGTCCACGCCCTTTCCTGTAGTTTTCTGTAGGCAGCCTGTAGTGGGTGGAGCTGCAGCGTCCCTCCCACCCCTTTGCTCTCTACACAGGCTATGTACAGCACAGTGATGATGTCACTGCTGCCTGTACAAGGTAATAACTGGGTTTTCAAAGGTATTTGGTGCATAAAAGAGGGTTTATTTGCTTTGTAGTTATTTAAGAAATATATACAGTAAACCTACATACCTTTTGTGTTTGAAGCCTTAAAATGTTTGTAAAGGCTCAAGGTTTTTTTTTATCTTCATGTATTCTATGTATAAAGGCTAAAAACCTTCTGAGTGCCGCAGTGCCCCCACTCCCCCCTAAAACTTACCTGAGCCCCATCTTGATGCAGAGATGTGCACAAGAGCCACTGTCTCCCTTCGTATTGACTGAAACAGCAGCCATATGCATTGGCTTCTGCTACTGTCAATCACAGACAGTGAGCCAGTGGGGAGAGAGCGGGGCCAAGCCATGCTCCATGCGGAAATGGACAGCTGCTTGGTAATGGGAGCAATAGGCAGGAGGGAGGGGCTAGGAGCGCCAACGGGGTACCCGAGAAGAGGAGGATCAGGGCTGCTCTGTGCAAAACCACTACACAGAGCAGGTAAGTATAACATGTTTTTTTATTTAAAAAAAAAAACCAAACAAACCTTTAATATCATTTGATAAGGATCATGATAAAAAGTAAAGTGTTTTTGATATATGACACTGCTGAATATGATACAAATGTAATAATACTGACTTTTTTTGTTACTGAAAGGTCCATTTTAACTCAGTTGCTTGTGTGCACGAAACCATGCAGTTCACTTTTCTGACCCGTACCCTTGGGGTAGTTTAGCAGTTTAAATTGTCTTTCTAAAAAATATTTATTTTATTCCTTGCTAAACGGCCAAACATCCTATCATAGTCTATCCCTGCTTTTATTATGTGTGTATCATTCTAGATCCACCCCACCTCTAATCCTCCATTAACCCACATTCATTATGTTTCTTGTTGTGTTTTGACAGATAGCGGTGTGACAGGGCACATTGTGTAATTGTGCACGTTTCTGATAATTATTCACTTCTTGCTCAGTTTTACTTCCATGGTAATTATCATAATATCACATTTGTCAAAACAGAGCCTTGAAAAGGAAATATATATCTGTATTCTTATCTAGCTGGCTTGGAGGTGCATAATGTGATATAATGAAGCGTGTAATTAAAATTTGTATAATACCTTGTAACGTTTGGTATTTTAATCTTACAGTCAGAATTTTTGACTGCAAATGATTGAAACAAATGAACTGCAACGTTCTGCAGTCATTTACTTACACTAATAAAGTCATCATAATGTCTAAACAGCGGTGCTTATTAAGAATGTTTAGTTAAATTTAACACAGACATTGCCCTAATGTGTTCAGAAGGCATCATTTGTATTTTTGCTACACTAGGTCTGTATTTTGGTGTCCGCCAGCAAATTCTAATCTTCTCAAAACTTGGATTTTAAACACAGCCCAGCTAAACACTGGACCAGCCAAATCATTGTACCCTTTTCCTAGGAGCAGAACAGGCTGGGGTAACTTTATTAAAGGGTATTCACAACCAGAAACAGGGACAGTTTTAGACAAATTTGAGGCTGCTCTTAAACACTCACCACTTAGTGGTATTTTTAAATTGACACTGAACTCTGGTTTAAAAAATAAAATCTATTCAGTTATGCATTCTTAATTCAAACAAGTCCCTTCTATTGCTCCCTGCCTCCTATAAATCTCCATATTTTTTTGTTGTTCTGATCCGACTACCTGTTAGAGGGTGGCTATGTGTTATCTTCATGGTCCTAATGTATGTAGGAATGTAGACACCCTCTCTTTTTTGCTCCCAAAATGGACTATGGAATTTGTAGTGTCCTTAGAACAGTGCACATGACTGAAAGTCTGCAGGACTGAAAGTGAGGTGGAAAAGAAAAGGTTCATGGAAGCAAAGCATGGTCAGTTCTCCATCTGCGCTGGGAACTCAATGTGCTCTAAATCAGAGTTCTGCTCACATGCCCCCCTAGCACAGCCTTTCATCCAGCTCTCTGTTCTCAGCTTCATAAGGAGCTTAGAGGGTATGTGAACACTTATAAAACATGGAAAAAGGGTATTTATAATGTTTTTATTTCTATACACATTTGTTTTGCCTTTCATTTCTATTTTAAATTGAAATGGTTGTTTTGCAAGGTGAGGGTTTACATACTGTATATTTAGGATATTGTTTAAAGTCGTTTTAACTCATTCAAAGATTTGCCACTCTGACACTCTATCGGCAGTCATCTCTGGGTTACACTCACATTCAAACAGGGATAGGTGCTCTC